AGACGACCACGACAAATCCAAAATATCTTCTGTGTGGCCATGGAGACTGCACAGCGGCTCACCGTCGAGGCCGAAAGCTTTCAAGCCAGCTTTATCGTCGCTCGTCTTTGACGAGCCTCGCTTTTTCTGATGTGGTGGTTTCCTAACCTCGTGAGTCCCCCCATCCGCTGCGCTAGCGGCGACTTGATTGCTCGATAAAACAATCTTCCACACCCGGACAACGCAGTCCTGCCCGCCACTTGCGAGGTACCGTCCGCCGGTACTGAACTTAAGAGCCCAAATCGGACCTTGGTGAGCATGAATCTCCTGTCCCATGTACAATTCCGCCAACTCTCTTACAGCTTTCTTGCACACGCGCACCTTAATTCTCTGCATTTTCCATGGTCTTCTCGCATCAGACCTTGGCTGAGCAGTAGACACGTCGTCTTTCTCTGCTGCAGCACTGGGAGTGCTTGACCGCCTCATGAAACCGCTAAACCATCTCTTCTTCTTGGGCTTCCCATTCAGCGGCAAATACGAAGAAGACGATGAAGAAGACGAAGAAGTCCCTGGTTTTTTCCTGTTCTCCCTGTCGACCCTCCTCATTTCCTGTACAATTGGAGAGAGTCCCAGAGAACTGTCAAACTCCTCTCGCGACAGCTCCCTCCCCGTCCCAACCTCTCTAACTCTGTTCCACGACCCATCCGATCCGAGCTCCTCGACTATAAACTCCTTGCCGCTGTCCAGATCCTTTATCCTATACACGAACTCCCTGCCACTGCTGTTGGTAGAGCTTTGACCATCTACATTGGCGTCGGTAGACCTTCCATCCGCGAGAATTGGGCTGCCGGGGCTGACCAAATCCCCATTTCTGGCATCTTCGTCCCTGGAGCTCTCGTAGCCGTCGCTAGAGCGAAGACGATCCAGATCCACGGACTCTCCCCTCAAATGCTCTCCTCCCGAGAGGGGATCCGAGATGCTGCGGAAGACCCGAGGCGTGGAGGCCGTCGACGGAGGGAAGGAATGGCTGGAGGTGAGGAAAGAGGGCTCCCTGCTGCCAAAGAAATCCTCCAGCCCCATTCTCTGGAGCAATCTCACCCTACGCTCCCCGACGCTGGCCGGATCGCTCCTCCACACCGCATATTTCGAGTCGCCGGAAGGGAATGCGGCGAAATCCTGGCGCTTGCCGCGCTGCCGCAGCTTGAATCTAGCAAGACGCTCACCATCGCTGCTGCCACCGCTATCGGAGCCGGAGGTGGTCGCGATTTCTTCGAGAGTCTCGAAGAATTCCTCCTCCTGCCCCTCGCCGTCGGAGCTCGCGGCGTCCGGAGCTTCTCCCTCCGCCATAGCTGCTGCATCTACCGGCGCGCCATCGCCATCGTCTTCTCCGTCCTAGAAACCTAACCTAACCACGGTAGTTTAGGCGTTAACTACGGTCCAGGGGCCTTGACGTGGCGCCAAACAACCGCACGTCACCGACAAGGCCGAGCTGTGATTTGCTTAAAAGAAAGCGATTTATCTCTAGTCTTTAATCCTCTCTCTCTCTCTCTCTCTCTCTATTTAGCGATCGATTCCATTGTTCTCTTAGGAATTCCTGGCGGCATTCACCAGCTCTAGAGTGGAAAGCGATGGAATTTGCTTGGAGCTTTTCAACGATCCATGGCCCAGCGCATTCAAATCAAAGCGCTCAGATGGTTTGGATTGTCTCTAGCAGCAAAATTTCGCTGGAAATAGGCCAAATTGACCAAGCACCTGGTGGAATCCGGCAATGGAAGCGACTGGCTCGCCGTGCCGATCTTTCACCTTTTTGCCCCAAATTTAAAATCCAAAATGCGCGCGAAACTTTTTCTAGGGTTAGGGTTTATCGCCGCGCAGATGAAGCTCAAGCAGCTGGAGAGCGAGCTCGGCCATCTCGTCCAGTTCCAGTCTCCAAAGGTATGGCGCTCTTGCGGCGCTCAATGCGCTCACTCGAATCTGGATTCTGGTCGCGCAGATCGAACTGGAGCAATACCCGACTGGCGCGCACATCGCTTCTCGGATGATGTACATGGTCTCTCAAATCCTTTTTTCCTCCGTGAGCGTGACGAATTCCTTCTTTTGCCAGGCTGAATCCAACTTTGGAGATATTTGTGGGAAATCCATCGCTGATCTTGGCTGTGGCTGTGGAACGCTCGGTGTGGCTGCGTCTTTGCTCGACGCCAGGTACGCATTTATTTTCTGCAAGATTCGTTTCTTTCCTGAACGTTTTCTTTTCTTCTTTCTGTAGTTACGTGATTGGTTTCGATCAAGATCTCGCGGCTTTAGACACTGCCCAAGAAAACTGCCGGGACCTTGAGGTATGTAAGCTTGTAACTTCGTAACTTCACAACTAGTTCTTGGTCTTCTTTCTTTTTTCTTGTTATTCTTCTGCACCTTTTCTTTTTTTAATTTTGTAAGTAACTTGTGGCTCTTTTTTCTTCGATCAGATCGACATGGATTTCGTGCAGTGTGATGTCAAGAGTCTTGGTTTGACGCGTAAGTGCTTACCGACGTCATATAGATGTTACACCTCTCATTACAGGAATCAGTGTCGACACAGTCGTAATGAATCCTCCGTTTGGCACTAGAAGGAAGGGAGCTGACATGGAGTTCTTGTCTGTAGCTCTGAAGGTACTGTGAGCTCCTTTTTTCCTCGATTGTGATGCTATATGTTGTTTCAGATCGCACGGACTGCCATCTACTCTTTACACAAAAGCTCTACAAGACAGGTTCTTCAAACCCAAGTTTTGACGAATACTGAAATGACTTTCCTGGTGGCAGCATGTGAAACGAGCAGCTCTGCAGGACCTCGGGGCTAAAACCGCAGAAGTCTTGTTCGAGGTAGAGTTTTTTCAGTGCATTCACCTAGTTCTGATGACTTGATCTTTTGTTGCAGTTGAGATTTGACTTGAAATCTTTGTACAAATTCCACAAGAAACAAGAGCTGGACATCGCTGTAGATTTGTGGCGATTTACCGTTTAGCGCACAAATCCTGCGAAGAATTTACAAGGTAAAGCATTGTTCCTGGTCGCAAAAAAGACTGACTAGATTACTCTCGCAGGACATCGCAGATATATAATTTTTTTTCTGTGCTTACTGTAGCGTCAGAGGTAGGGTTATGGGGAAAGCGTTGATGATCGCGGTGGATGACTCTGAATCGAGTGCCTATGCTGTCAAGTTCACCCTGGAGAACTTGGCTTCAAGCGACGATGCGATCACTCTAGTTCATGTTCGCTCGGAGGTAGATGGTAAGGAGTTTCTTTTGTTCTTTTGTTCTTGTGATATGATCTTTGTTGTCTTCTATTCTAGTTGAGGGGTTTTATGGAACACCGGATTGGGTTGCCGAAATGGATCACAAGTTTGAAGAGCGAGCTCGTGGTATTCTGTCCCGCATGAAGGAAATTGTGGATGGGCATAAGGTACTTTGTGATAAACTTTTGACTAGCTCATGATTTCTTTTTCTACAAAACAGATACCTTGCATGATTGTATCCAAGAAAGGGGATGCCCGAGAAAAGCTGCTAGAAGCTGTCAACGAGTTCCCTCCAACAATGTTAATACTGGGAAGCCGAGGCCTTGGAATGGTGAAAAGGTTTGCCAAAAAGCTCTAGTTTGCATTCCTCAAACCGTGGATTTGGACAGGACGTTCCTGGGAAGCGTGAGTGACTATGCTGCACAGCACGCTGAATGCCCTGTGCTTATTGTCAAGCTTCCACACCCGTAAGATTTAATGTGTTTCAAGTGCCTTTTTTCTCTTCTTCGTTTGAGGGACCTATAAGCGGTGCGTTCTTCAGTTCGCACTTTCTTAAGTTTACCCTCAGAAAGCAAATCGATTCGCTTGTTCAGGACCAAAATTCTGTGTTTATGGATCCTCAAAGCGACACTTGGACAGTTTTCTAGAGCTTTTTTCAAACAATAGTTTCTTGATAATCGGTGCTAATCGTTGGCACAAGTTTAGGCTTATTCCTTCTTTTGCTTAAGTTGTAGTATAGTGTGACGCGGACAACTGGGGTTCGATCCCCTGCAACTGCGCTTGTCAGGAAAGTGTGAATTAAAGAAGACGATCGGGAACATTGTAGCTCAAAGTGCTTAATTCGTTCAATTGCTCATTGGATTGCAATACTTTGATATTTCTTAATTGGAAACATTTGCTACTCTCGCATATCTTTTGTTCATTAACACCACAACAGCAATAGAGTCCATAACGGAGACCATCCTATTTCCCTAGACGTCTACACAAAGTATGCAACCTGGCTCGCATAAGAAACCATAGGATATCCACGAACTTCACATATATTGCTGTGATCACCCCTGGGAGCCTGCAAACCTGTGATTTGGAAAAGAAAACAAGGTGCTTCTATGAACCACCGCATTATGGCTGATCTTCCTTCATAAGAATGTGCTGTTGCAGGCAAAATGATAAACCACATTTGAGACATATATGCTTGCTAATGTACTCCAATAAAAATACTAACCAGCATACAGTGTAAGAGAGTAATAATAACTCTAATAATAATTGGTAAAACACATTAGCATAATGAAACAATCTAAGTTGATATTCCAAGGTATAAATCTCTCTCTCTCTCTCTCTTGTATGACTGGCAAAGTCGTAATGTCACTGCAGAAGTCTATGCTGCTACATATTAAAAAGCCACACTCTCTAAATACTCGCATTATCTGTGGCGGCACATGAATTCTAGTTTCAATCACTTTAATATTACACACTTAATTGGAAACATTAGCTACTGTTTCTTTTGTTCATCAAAACTCGTCCTAACATTTCCCCCACTAACACCACAATAACAATAGAGTCCATGACACACACCATCCTATTTCCCCACCTCCAGTCTGGATATAAATGTCTACGCACAAAAGTGATAGGTATGCAACCTGGCACACAAAGAGAACCTATAGGATATGTACCAATTACTTCAGATATAACGTAGTCATCTTCCCTCTGACAGTCAGCAAATCCATGATTTGGAAAAAGCCATCTTTTCCAACTAATAAAATAGGGTGTCTTCATGAACCATCTCATTACAGCTGATGTTCCTGCACAAGAATGTGCTATTGCAGACAAAACTTGCCAAATGATAAACCAGGAGCGATTCGAGACATATGTGCTGGCTAATGCACTAGCTGCTCCAATAAAAATACTAACCAGCATAAAGCACCTGTAGTGAAAGAGAGTAATGATTCCAATAATAACTGTAAAGTCAGTTTAGCAATAATATTTTATACAACTGTTCTAATATTACCTCCAATAATATAGCCTATATACATGATGAGTGAAGCAAACAAGCTGCCACTTAGGCCACGTAATATGACATAAAACCCAGTGCATTGCAGTCTCTTTAACAATAAAGAACACCCCACTTTGGAGGATAAAATGTGATATAGATGGTGAAGACATAGAAACTAATTGCCCAGGTCATAATAATTGAAACAGGTAAGAAGAACCACCACAATGGAACAACTAGTAATCTCCATACCCAACCTGTCAAGCCCTAATAGGTAATCCTATAAATAACAAGAAAAGGATGTGGATGACGAATATACTAAATTTCACAAAATAATTTGCAAGGCTAAGGTTTGCATGAGGGGACTTCAATGCAAGTCATGCAGATTGGGTGGAGAATGATGTACTCTTGTTTTGAAAATCCTTTTTTTACCATAAAGTGTGTTCTTAATCTATGGAAAATCATTGCCATTGGGATCCATTTTTTATCTTCTTGGTTGCTTTCTTTTCTTTACCGTGATTTTTCTGTATCTTCTTCTAATAGCTATGTGATTGGATTCCTGCAAGCCCTTGCAACATTGCTTGAGATGTGTAAGCTTTTTAAGTTTAAGTAGTTCTTGGCTTCCAACCTTCAACTTTTTATTTTAGTTTTTTGCATGCCAATTTCTTTGATCAGTTCGACATGGGTGTTGATGTCTGATGGGTAATATATTACACTTTGTCAATATAAAAACTAGTGTTGACATAGTAGAACTTTTGGCACCGATTTCCTATTTGAAACTCTATTTTGAGGTATTTCCTGATTGTTATGCTATATATTGTTTCAGGTTACACACCCACAAAACAGTTTTGATGATATCAAAATGGCTTTCCTGGTGGCAACATGTAAAACAAGCAACTGCAGAATTCTTGTATAAGGTAGAGCATTTCAGCGCGTTCTGACAACTTAACTTGTTTTGGCAGTTGAGATTTGACTTGAAATCTTTCTAAAGTCAAGAGCTGGATAGATTTGAGACCAGGAACAATCGTCGATGGGGATTTAGCAATGAAAAGAAATCACGATCATCAAGTCAAAAGACTTCATTGATTAAGTACTTTATCTTCATCCACAATACTAACTTGCTCTTCAAACT